ATGCAATGTATAAGCGCCTCGCCAATATAGCTTGCTATGGGGGCACCCAAGCAGGCTCGGAGGCGAGCCGCTGCTCTGCGTGTCCATTCACACACAGAGCCGCGGCCTGGCCCTGCCCGCGTTCGTCCTCATTGGCTCACTGGCTTTTATTGACAGCTATTGCTGTCTCGGCCACTGAGGCGGGAGAGTCCCCGGACAGGCAAGGCTCTTGTGCACAACAGTGGATCGTGATGGGGCTCAGGTTAGTATTAGCCTGGGATCACATATATGCGGTGCAGTATATCGCATGTGATTCGCAACAGGAACCGCACCGCATTCCTGTACACATCACATGCGATTTGTGTGCGGTGCGATCGGAGCCGTACATTTTTTGTATGGCTGTAATTGCAACGCACCCGCACCAAAAAGGTTCAGGACCCTTTTTTGGTCCGCACTAGAATCGAATCCCATGGGTATTCACACATATTCTGCACATCGCACCACGTTTTGCGGACCGTTTTCTGGGAGTTGTTAACATACACACCTGCAGCAGTTCGCATGTACTGGGTGAGATTCTGATGCTGTGTGGAATTCGCACTGAAAACGCTGCGCATCAGTGTGAACCCGGGCTGAGGGGACTGCATAGAATGCACGAAGGTAAAAGGCCATCTGCCTCTGCAACCACTTTAATTGAATGAGCTGAAGTTAAAAGCTGATTGGCTCCCATGTACATCTGCACCAGATTCTGAGTGCTCCGGTTTTAGTAAATCTCCCCCTAAGGCTAAGTTCACATCTGTGCGGGTGGTGCCACTGCAGATCCACAGAAAAATCCATGCAGCTGCACCATCCGCACAAAGGAATGCGGACCCCCGGGCGGGTGCCATTAATTCTAATGGCACGCCGCTTGCACTGGAAAATGCAACCATACTGGGAACCTCGGCTGTGTTTTCAGAAGAAGTGCAGGGACTTCACTGCGTGTCCCGGGGCATGGGAGTCAATTCAAATGAATGGCCTCTCGTGCCCGTGCAAAACGTGGCCCGAACAGCCGCATAAATGTGAACCAGGGGTAACGGTCTATTCAGATGGAATTGGCTGCCTTAACCCAATGCATGTTGAACTGGATGGACTTTTGTCTTTTTTCAGCCAGACTAACTATGTAACTAAGTAACTATGTTAGAATACATTTTAACAGCTGCAAAAACGCACAGGTAAGCGCACATAAAGCCTAAGGCTGGCCATACACTATACAACTAGTAAGTGCAAGGGCCTGCCTAATTGGATACAATTGAAAGTGTTGTTTAGGTTTGACCTCCATTTTATATGGTTTTTGGTAAATCTAAAGCAAAATTCTCCAGAAGATTGTATGATGTATGGCCGGCCTAACGGTTCGTTCACCAGGTGCATTTAGCTGCGTTGATCAGTATTGACCAACTCAAGAGTACATGGAAAACAACCTTTCTGCCCTGCTCACGCCACACATATGCATTCCATAAAAAAAGTGTCGCCTTTACACAGCCCGTCCCAAAATGGTGCGGTGCAAAAAGTTGAATGAACTGTTATTTTATATTTCAATAAAGTTTAAAAAATAGATGAAACCGCGCAATGCATTGTAATAATGTATTGTACCTATGGTTGCCACCTCATCCCTGTAAGCCCGAACACATATTAACCACTTCCCGTCCGGCCTATGAAGATAAACGGTTGGCTGGGAGTGCTGCCGATGCGGGTGGACGTTTCTAAATGTCCCCCCACATTTATTGCCTGTGCGCGCTCCCTGGGAGTGGGCGGCACTGCGATCCGGTGCCCACTGTGTCCGGAGGACACAGCAGAACATAGATCGCTGTACGGGACCTGTGGTTCCAGTGACTGGCCAATCAGTGATCTAATGAATAGTAGTAAGCAAGATGTCACTTCTTGACATCATTGCTTACTATCAGGGGTGGACTGACCATTTGGAAACTCGGGCACTGCCCGAGGGCCCGGGTTCAGTAGGGGGCCCCATAAGATGCCCCTGGTACGTTTTTCATAGGCTTTTTTGAGTTTGAGCAAGGACACAGGGGCCCCATGATCCCCTATTGCTCGGGGGCCTCATGAGTTGTCAGTCCGCCCCTGCTTACTACTTGTGAAATCTGTGAATGATCACAGAGGTCACATGGTACAAGGCTATTCACAACAGCCCTGTACCATGTGACAAGCTGTGACCACTCACAGCTCACATAGTATTTCTCAATGGCTGCAGGAATGCAGCCAGAGAGAAGGAGAAATGATTGCTTTTACAGCCTTTATGGGTGTAAAAGCAAACAGTGTAAAAAAAAAAAAATCTTCATCACCCCCCACAAGTAGTACAGTGTCACTATGGTGATACTGTACTGCTAGGGTGACAGTATGTTAAAAAAAAAAAACAAAACATAAATAATAATATAAAAAAAAATAAAATAAAAATGTAAAAATTTTTTTGGAAAAATTATAATTTTTAGTTATAAACTAATTTGGGTTATTATTTTTTTTTTACTAAAAAGATAGATGACTACATTTTTGGACAAGATTTATGAAGAAAGATTATTTATTTGCAAAATGTTATAAGAAAAACACTCTTTTTTTAACAATTTTTGGACATTTTCATTTATATAGCAAAAAAAATAAAATTCCCAGTGGTGAATAAATACCACCAAAATAAAGTTTTATCTGTCTCAAAAAAATGCTAAAAAATTCATATGGGTACAGTGTTGCATGACCGCGCAATTGTCAATCAAAGTGTGATAGTACTGAGAGCTGAAAATTGGCCTGGAGAGGAAGGGGGTGAAAGTGCCCGGACTTGTGCAATTCTTCTGAAAATGCAGCCCGCATGGGAACCTTGACTCCCAGTACGGTTGCGATTTCCAGTGTGGGTGGCGTGCCATTAGAATTAATGGCACCCGCCTGTGGGTCCGCATTCCTCTGTGTGATGTGGCTGCACAGATTTTTGTGTGGATCCGCAGAGGCACCACCCGCACAGATTTGAACCTAGCCTAAATTAGCCCCAGGGCCTGTGTCATTAACCCCTTCACGCCGGCACCTCTCGGCCCTTTAAGGGTTTCAGGAGGCGGGGCGGGGTTTAGGGTAGTGTGACTGCTGTGACACGCCGTCACAGCGGTCACATGATCGGGAAAGGTCCCGATCGAAAGAGGAGATCGGGACCTTTCCGTGAGTACTGGACATATGTGCTGGGAGCGGGCAGGGCGCACGCTCTCAGCACATATGTCCTTTTTTAATAGAACGCAAATATGCTCGGCGTCTAGGCCCAGATGCCGGGAGGCCGGCGTGAAGAGGTTAATATGTGTTCAAGTTTAAAGGGATGAGTCGGAAATCCTAATTGTACCCCCCCCTTCACACAATACACATCAGTGAACATGCGTGCGGGCCAGTGTGAATGAGCCCCAACTCTCCATCATAAACATACACTTTACAGTCTGTGCAAGTGCCAAACTAACCTAAAAAGGAATAGAAAATTGCATTGAAGAGTAACATTTTTGGATGCCATACACCCAGGGGCGGACTGACAACTCATGGGGCCCCCTGGGCAATAAGGGATCATGGGGCCCCTGTGTACTTGCCCAAACTCAAAAAAGCCTATGAAAAAGGTACCAGGGGCATCTCATGCCCGAGTTTCCAAATGGTCAGTCCGCCCCTGCATACACCCAGCATTTTCAGCCACAGATCGTAGGTGTCAGTATGGCCTTGTTGGGTCTTGCCATTTTCCCCATGTTGGACGGTCTGGCACAGTTACACATGCAGTGATAGACAGTTGTTCAAGGACAAAGATAGCCCCAAAATCCTGGCTGGCAGAACTGCAGGTAATAAAGCATGGACTGGACCATTGGTGAGTTTGCTTTGTAGGCTTCACTTGGCTGTATGGCAGTTATTAAGCCTTGGGGCTCATTCACACCAGCGTGCTGCATTCAAATGCATCAAATGTTACACAACCCATTCACTTACAGCAGGGGTCTCCAAACTTTCTAAGCAAAGGGCTGGTTTACTGCCCTTTAGACTTTCGGGGGGTTGGACTGTGGCCATTGGGAGTAGAGAATGCCCTGGAGTCAATGTATATAATACCTCATGCTTTGTGGTCAGTAGGAGGAGAAATGGCGTCCCAAAATTGGTATTGGTGGGAGGAATGATGTACGGTGACCTCCTCGTCCCTTTAAAACCGAACATGTATTAATTACATGAGTTCTGAGGCTAATTTATTGCAGATAAGGCACCAAGAGAGTTTAATTACCAGCTTAAAGTGTTACTAAACCCACAACAGTACCATCAGTCTGTAGATGCAGTAAAGCATGCTTGTTATACTCACTGTGGAACCTAAGTGGTTAATCCTCTGCATTGTGCAAAAAGGCTGTTTGATCCTTTCTTCTCTGGTCCTCACCTTTTTCAAGTGACCATCTCTTATCTCCAGACTGAACTGTAGGCATGCACATGCTCAGTTTGGTGTGTATTGCTAGAGAGGTTGTTTTTTTCTTGGGAGAGTGCATGTGACCAGCACAGGACAATCATCACTGTCCAGACAGAGGTCAGGGGATTTCCATCCTCCTAGAGCAGAAAGAAAACTCCTCCTACAAGCTTTAGCTAGTGGTTGGCTGGACACTGATAGAAGCCACTGCTATATACTGCTGATGAGAAAAGGGATTTAGCAGTTTATATTTACTAAAATAATTGCATTTCCATGTTCTGTGTACTGTGGGAGACCAGATATAGTGAATGCAGGGTCCGGGGAGCCCAGATATAGTGAATGCAGGGTCCGGGGAGACCAGATATAGTGAATGCAGGGTCTGGGGAGAGCGGATATAGTGAATGCAGGGTCCGGGGAGACCAGATATAGTGAATGCGGGGTCCGGGGAGACCAGATATAGTGAATGCGGGGTCCGGGGAGACCAGATATAGGGAATGCAGGGTCCTGGGAGATCAGATATAGTGAATGCAGGGTCCGGGGAGACCAGATGTAGTGAATGCAGGGTCCGGGGAGAGCGGATATAGTGAATGCAGGGTCCGGGGAGACCAGATATAGTGAATGCAGGGTCCGGGGAGACCGGATATAGCGAATGCAGGGTCCGGGGAGAGCGGATATAGTGAATGCAGGGTCCGGGGAGAGCGGATATAGTGAATGCAGGGTCCGGGGAGACTAGATATAGTGAATGCGGGGTCCGGGGAGAGTGGATATAGTGAATGCAGGGTCCGGGGAGAGCAGATATAGTGAATGCAGGGTCCAGGGAGACCAGATATAGTGAATACAAGGTCTGGAGAGAGCGAATATAGTGAACGCAGGGTCCGGGGAGAACGGATATAGTGAATGCAGGGTCTGGGGTTTAGTAACACTTTAATCAGCCTAAGAACCTGTGTAATTAATATGTGTTCAGTTTTAAAGGGATGAGGTGGCAACCCTAGAATGATGCCCCACCATTGGTGTCCATGGGATTAATGGTGCTCCATCATTGTTGTCAATGGGAGGAATAGTACCCTATCATTGGTTTTAGTGGGAGGAATTGTGCCCCACTGTTGGTGTCAGTGGAAGGAATGGCGCCTCATCTTTGGTGTCAGTGGGATGAACAGTGCTTCATATCAGTGAGAGGAATAGTGCCACAAGGACCGGATAAAGGCAAGAAATTGGCTGAATCGGGCCCACAGTTTGGAGACCACTGACTTACAGCATTGGTAACGTGCAGTATAAGGTAGGTCAAGTAGGTCAAGTTGTGCATTATAACACCCATTATGGTATGAACAAGTCCTCAGGTTGGTCCTTGGTCATTCAGTCAGTGGCACACCCCAATAAATAATACATTATATTTGTATTTATGAATCACATGGTGCTGCCATTGCCTGTGACAACTGGATTGCATGTTTAAGTTCCCCAAAAATGACAGGTGAATCCTGGTGGATTGCTAAAGGCCTCGGCCAATTTTTGGTGGAATCCTATTTCCCTTGTTGCTATTGTGGAAAACGAGGATCCTTCCTGTAAAATGTAAACAATTTAAAATTCACGACAAATGATATTAGGTAACATCATGTCAATTTTTGAAAATATATTTTTTAAGCCGATAAAGTCCAACAGTCATGTGACTGTTATATTTGGGTTTATAGGCGGTCACGTAATTATGCATACAACACTGGTGGATGTTTCCTCTCTCAGATGTTGAGCTGACATCAGGAGCCCCAGAACGCCTGGGATTAGGAACAGTGATAGCTATGTAGCATGCAGTGGGATCACACATACAAAGCCCCCTGATAAGAATCCACATAGCCCAGATAGGCAAGGGACTTGCCTTAAAAGAGAAGTGTGGGAAGCTATACACCTCCACCTCTACACCAAGAAACTGAGTGATCAGGTGTTTGCCTTTCACTTGTATAATCTATCCACAAGAAAAGTCATTATAGGACAAACTTCATATTATATTCCAACAGTCTGAAAAAGTGGAATTCATCTATCTTCAAAGGGAGATTGTTGATAAATATTTCTGTCCCAGGTGGAGGAGCTTCTCCAACCCAGTCAACTTACAATAAAGCATCAAAAGATACCCCTAGACTGTTCACTGAGCCAGAAAAGTGACTGTCGTTATGTGCCTGGCTCCCATTACACTAACTTGGGAAGAGAACCTGGGACAAATCTACGAGCCGTTTTGGGGATGAGCGCTTCATTGAATACATCCTCCGTTATAACTTATGGAAACTTCACTGGCAAGAGTTCTCCATCATAGTTTTACCACCAACCTCACCCAATAAACCATAAAAAAAGAAAGTCCCTTAATATTTTCTTTTATTGGTACTCGTGTGTATTGTTATAGGTCAGTGGTCGGCAAGCCGCGGCTCGCGAGCCACATGCGGCTCTTTACACACATTAATGCGGCTCTTCTGTGTGCCGGGCGCCCGCTCCCCTCCCTCCTCTCGGGCGGCCGCCCCAAAAGTCAGGACTCTGCAGCTTGCCCAGCGATGGGCAAACTACGGCCCGCATACGGCCCGGCGGAGCGTGGCAAACATTGGCTGTCAGGATGTAGGCGGGGCAGCGTGACGAACTCCTCTCCTCTCACAGTCCGCCCTGAAGACCGGAACGGCGCGGGAACACGGCGAGAGGAACGTGCGGAGCAAAGGTAAGTGAATTGACACAATATGGGGGATGAATTACTATATGGAGGATGAATTACTATAGGGGGGATGAATTACTATAGGGGGGATGAATTACTATATGGGGGATGTATTACTATAGGGGGGATGAATTACTATATGGGGGATGTATTACTATAGGGGGGATGTATTACTATGGGGGATGAATTACTATAGGGGGGATGTATTACTATATGGGGGATGAATTACTATGGGGGATGAATTACTATAGGGGGGATGTATTACTATATGGGGGATGAATTTACTATGGGGGATGAATTACTATATGGGGGATAAATTACTATATGGGGGATGAATTACTATCTGGGGGATGAATTACTATGGAGGATGAATTACTATATGGGGGATGAATTACTATCTGGGGGATGAATTACTATATGGGGAATAATTACTATAGGGGGGATGAATTACTATCTGGGGGATGAATTACTATCTGTGGGATGAATTACTATATGGGGGATGAATTACTATAGGGGGGATGAATTACTATATGGGGGATGAATTACTATAGGGGGGATGAATTACTATAGGGGGGATGAATTACTATATGGGGGATGAATTTTACTATATGGGGGATAAATTTACTATGGGGGATGAATTACTATATGGGGGATTAATTACTATGGGGGATGAATTACTATATGGGGGATGAATTACTATATGGGGGATGAATTACTATGGGGGATGAATTACTATATGGGGGATGAATTACTATGGGGGATGAATTACTATATGGGGGATGAATTACTATGGGGGATGAATTACTATGGGGGATGAATTACTATATGGGGGATGAATTACTATAGGGGGGATGAATTACTATGGGGGATGAATTACTATATGGGGGATGAATTTACTATATGGGGGATGAATTACTATGGGGGATGAATTACTATGGGGGATGAATTACTATATGGGGGATGAATTACTATGGGGGATGAATTACTATGGGGGATGAATTACTATGGGGGATGAATTACTATATGGGGGATGAATTACTATGGGGGATGAATTACTATATGGGGGATGAATTACTATAGGGGGGATGAATTACTATGGGGGATGAATTACTATATGGGGGATGAATTACTATGGGGGATGAATTACTATATGGGGGATGTATTTTCAGTTTTAAAAATGTGACTCTCAAAATAAATTTCAATTGTGGTTTTGGCGAGATTTGGCTCAGTTGAAAAAAAAGGTTGCCCACCACTGTTATAGGTCATTGCAACCGAAATGATATATTTCAGTGTTCAGTAGATGGCACAGAATTATGCTGCCTTCTCTCGGTGGTGAGACATCTAGACTTGAGTAATCAGTAACATGCTGTAGCAGATGAAGTAAGTCCACAAGGTGGATAGTAGGCTGATCTCATTAGAAACTTCACATTTTTTTTTTTAGAATTCAGCATCCTATAGCTGAAAAACAACCTTTGTCTGGCTTGATCTTTTACTGATAAACAGTAGGTCTGCTTTCATATAGGACTCTGAGGCTGTTCTGAGAAGGGGAAACAGGAGTATTGGCTTCCTGTACGGTAATTACAGAAGCGACATTCTGATACCTGCGCCCTGTTCATACTTTGGAGGACATAGTCTGCTGAGGACTTCGCAGCCTGTTCAAAGCCTGGAGTTCAGACTTCCAGGGCCACCAACATGGCAGCGGCCCTTCTACTTGTGCTCATCATGTGCACCCAGCCCTCTAAAGGTAGGAGCAATTGATAAAATTCAAAGAGTATCCACCATTTCCAGCAAATTGAAGTTGGCCCATGCCACCACAATCAACTGCTTTAATATATGTTGGTCTGCACACAATTGTAACACATACCCATTTTGGTTTTGGGTTAACTGTAATGTTTTTTAGCTGAATACAATTTTAAACTCTTTAAAACGCTGTTTTATATCTGGGTACATATAAAACATATATAGATGAGTGAGAACAGTAGGGTGTATCCCTTTTCTGGATGCAATCGTAGATAAAGCCACCTGATAAGGGATAGGTAACTGCATGTTTCCGCACACAATGTTTTTATTCCAACAACCAGCACCTTATGCCAAACCTCTTCCTCCTTTTGGCTAACACTCAACAGCTAGCCTAGAAACCTACACTGAGACTCTGGTTTCTGGTATCTAAAACCTTACACGTTAAATCTACATTCTAATACCAAGCACCTAAAGCCTATCCTCTAGTACTAGCACTTAACGCCTAATCTTTACCTCTGAATACCTAGAGCCTAAAGCCAACGCCTAATATCTACTTCCTGATGCCTAGGACCCAATGCTTTACCTGTAGTTCCTAATGCCTAGAACCTAATGCCTAGCCTGTAGTTCTCAATGCCTAGGACCTTATGTCTTAGCTGTAGCCCCGAAAGCCTAACACCTAACCTCTAGTTTCTAATATATAAAGCCTTACAGCTCTATCATCTAATACCTAGAACCAAAAGCCTAATCTCTAGCTCCCAATGTTTAGCATCTGACACCTACCCTTTAGCTTTAAATATCAAGAGCCTAACAAATAGTTCTTCTAATGCCTAGGACCTACTGTCTCTTCTGTAGCTCCCAATGTCTAGAACCTAACATCTAACTTCTAGCTCCCAAAGCTTAGTGCCTAACATGTTACTTCTACCTCCTAATGCCTAGAAGCTAACGCCTAACCTCTGGCTCCCAATGCCTAGTGCCTAACTCTTTACCTCTACCTCCTAATGCCTAGGATCCAATGTCTAACCTGTAGCTCATAATGCCTAGAACCTAACATCTTAGCTTCTAAAGCCTAGGACATGATGCCTAACCTACTAGTCTCTTTCACTTAACTTCTTACCTCTAGCTCTGAATTCCTAACCCCTAACACCTAAGCTCCAGTTCCTAATGCATAGAGCCAGAGAGATGCAACATAGAGATGCAATAGCCTACTTCTATCTCCTACTGTGTATGTAGTGTTACACCAGAGAGGGTCGCTGTAGATTCACAGGTTCCTTCCCAAAACAGTGCAAGGCAACCAGGCACACAGCAGTAGTCCATTCACTCTGGCTGAATAAACACTCTAGGGGTTTGTCTTTTTGGACGTTTATTTGCTAGTAGAACAAGGGAGGAGGAATCTAGGGTGATGTAGGAAACTCCAGCAAGATATATTGCTGGTAGAGGACAACTTGCACTAAGCAGCAGTAGCAGTACTATGGGCAGGCCTAAATAATTCATGGTTCATGGCTAAGGACCACAAAGGAGAATAAACATGAAGATAGGCTCTAGCAGAATACAGTTCACAGCTAAGGACCATGAAACAGCTGTAGCGCAGGTAAAGAGGCTCTACTCACTTCTGG